CCCAGCCGCGCCTCCCGCGTCAAGGGGCCGGGAGAGCTTCGTCTGCCGGTAACGCCAACCGTGGGGGCAGCGCCCCTCGGCCCTGCCCTGCCAGCCCGCACAGGAGCTGCCCCGACGCGCCTCGGTGCCCTCAGGCCCGGCCTGCTGCGGGTGCTGCGCTGCTCCCTTAGCGCTGCCTGCCGCGACTGTTCCTGTGAGGTTCCTTCCCTTCACTCTGGTGTAAGGATAGAGCCTGCGAAGGGTAACAGAACCCCAGCACTCGCCCACCACAGCAGAACGATCATAGTGGGCTCCAGCGATCTTACTCAGAAAAATCCTGAGTTTTATGAGACAGTGACGACACTTACCTGTAGCTGCCCAGAGAAACAAAACCACTCTAACCAGTTGTAAACCCACTATTTAATTTACTCCCCAAAGTGCCTGGATTTCAGCTGAACTAAGAACTTGGACCTCACACCACAGCATCACGGTGATCAAAAACTACTGGCATGCCTTTGCTTGTCTCTCAGAACAGCAGAAACAAAAAATACAAAAATTTCTAATGATACCCTCGTGTTGGGTAAAAGAGGATATTTTTTCCCTGTCCCCCCCATCATTTTTTTATCTGGATGCCTAGAGAAGCAAGCATTACTGTCAGTATTTGCCTTCTGAACCTGTTCAGTGAATCCACACTTGTCCCTGTCACAACACTTTCTGAAAAGGAGTCTGAAGAAACACTGACGATAGCCACACTTCTTACAACGGAGGGAAGAGAGGGCTGAGGAGAACTCTCAGGAGCCTGAAACGAAGTCACAGATACTAGACCCTGCCTGCTGCACTGGTGTTACTGCCATACTGCCAGGGTCCTCTAACTCACAGCTTTGTGTCGTTTCCTACACAAGGGTGGCCTAGCACAGCAGGCAAGGACTAAGGACACAGCTCCAGAACACTTTACCAGTTTCTCCATGGTAAGATTTAAAATCTCAAATGATTTTCTAGACATAGCCAGGCCAGATAAGAGAAAGTCAAAGGAAACCAAAATTCAGGGTCTACTGCTGAGAAGAAATACTCATTATTTTTAGAAAGCCCTTCTCAGCTAGCAGTAGAAAAAGTTGGAAGATGTCGAGGATTGGTTAGCTGACAAGGGTCACACAGACATACTGTAGATGGCTGACCAGGATCTTGGGAAACATCGGGCTCTGCTAGTCTGAGGTGCTGGGGTGGTAAGGACACGCTCTCCTTGACTGCAGCTGCTATACGATAACAGCAGGCTTACGGTCAGCTAAGGCATGGGAACTTAAGGGAGTAAGCAACCAAGAATGAGGAACTAGGGGAGGGGTTGACGTTTAGGATAGTGACCAGTTAATTAGTTAGGTTACAGAATATGTATGATCTCATTAAGAACTGTATAAGTATGCTGAACGCTAATCAATAAACGAAGCTTGCTGATCGCTCATATTGAGTGCTCAAGTTCTCCCACTGCGACAGGAAGAACCACTTTATGCTGTATCAAGTACAAAAATTTAATGTCAGATTTTCTAATCTACAAGAAAGCTGAATGAGAAAAATCTTTTAAAAAAATATACAATACTTTCTAGAGTGCACTTTCAACACTGTGAAAATTTTTCTTATAGTCAGAGTAGGTATGTACCTAAACTTTCAGAAACTTGCAGTCTTAACTTTTAAGCAATTCCTACGTACTGCCTTCTATATGTATATAAAACATAAGTCATAACACCTTACATATCTTCAAGCTTATCTATAACATACTTGCAAGTGTATTGTGTATTTTACATAGATTTCAGATTGATCATAAGACTGTTCTGTGTCTTAAAATCAGAAATCAACAGCAGTAACCAGTTATAATATCCTTGAGAAGGTATTAATCAGTGATAGCTGCATCACTTGTGAATGGTATCGTTCCAAAGTGAACAAATTTCACATATATGGAGCCCAGCCCATATACATCTGGCAGAGCAGGTTGTCATCACTTGCTTCTTGAATGAGGTAATGAACGTGCCCTTCAATAGATAAAGGTAATCCTTTTATTCTGTTTCTAGTCTTAATGACACCTTGGAGCCGTTGTTCTATATCAAGGACATGGGTTTTGGCCTGAAAACAAAAAGAGGAAAAAAAAAATAATTTTGCTACTATCCATGAACTTCTGCTTCTTAAAATAAAAAAGTATCTATCAGGATGTGTTTGAAATCTGTAGGCTAATTTAATTCAAAACCCAGATGTATACACTAGTTATTTTGAAAATAAAGGATACTTACTTTTTAAAATCATTCTTTAAAATGGATAGATTATTTGTAAGTTATAACTTTTGCCTCACATTTTTACAGATAAAATTTACCAGAGAAGACTGAAAAAACTGTGCAAATATATTTGAAAATGTTAGAATGCTTTATTTCATACAATTACTTTCAAATAAATGCAAAATGTTCCCAGCCTTTTTCTTGGAATTCTGGATAAAATTAAAGAAAATGCCTAGTCTGGAAAATTTAGACCAAAATTAGGAGCAACTGAAAATTATTAAGTCTAATAACCTAATAAGGTTATGCTGAGGAACTCAAAATGAGTTGTTCCAAGGCCCACTAGAGTAGCTATTTCATACCAATTACACTCACACATTTTCTTTTAAAGCTCAAGCATAACACTGGCGCCTATCCAGAAAAAACAGTTAACAGATACAACTATGTGGGTGGTCCTGTAACTATAAGAAACATTATGTAGACACAGCCTGGTTAGTTTGAAGACAAGGAGTTTTTCTGGGCTCAAATAGCTCAGATAAGTTCTTTGTTGTAATACAGCTTTGGTACTGTAGTTTGTCCTCATCTTAGCTGCTGAGTTGATCAGTGCTCTGTAAGTTTTATCTGCTACTACACATAATTATTTTCACTAAATATTCCTTTTAAAGCAAAAAAGGGACAAATTGGAATTTTTGCAAAGGGGACAGAGAATAAATACTGCAGGCTGTGAAAGCCATGAATGAACAATATAGTATTTATTAACAGCTACAAAAGAAACAGTACATACAAAATCCTAATTTTAACCAAGTATTCCTTGACATCTAACAAGGCACATATTAATTCAATACTGAATCCACTCATGAAAAGCACAAAAATATGCATGGAAAGGACTCTGGATATTACCATCTCAGCAAGTCCAGAGGACTGCATAACAGCGAGAGTGAGGGGAAGCGGGAGCCTCACCTATCCTACTGCTTCTGTTGATGCTGTCCTTGATTTAGTAGCACTAATAAGAGAATTATAGGCTCTATTTTGTATGGTTCTTTAGGAGATAAATGAGCAATAAAATAGTCTCTTTATGGATAAAAATTATGAACACAGAGATAATCAAGAAGAAACAGCCAGAGGAATTTTTAAATTAAAGAAAAAATAAGAAAGTTAAGGTTTCAATTAGAAAGTATCTAACTTGCAAACATAATGGACATTTTAATACCTTGTGATATGCTTGTTTTGAACTAACCTTTTCGTTGACAACTTCTCCAGTTTCGTTCACCTGTGCTTTTGTATTTCCTTTAACAGGTTTACTCCATTCCACAAGAGGATCATGGAGAAAAGTCTTTAAGACACTAAATAAATTAAAAATTTAAAAAAGGGTAAGTTACATACAAATACATTTAATTTTCAAAAGAAGAATACTGACAGGAGTCTAAAGTTAGCACTGAATATTTATATTGTTTGATATTTAACTGCATGTCATAGTAAGACTGAGCTGCATGACAGGGATATGCTGGAAGTGACATGCTCACCAGCAGGTACTGTTTCAGATGTTGAGAATACAGACAGCTTTTTCAGAGTTTGTAGCAAAACCAGTTGCCCTACCTCATTAGAGGCTCCCTTTGATCACGCATAAGCCTCATGGTGACTTCACACGCTCTTCGGAAGAGACCTTCCGTTCCCATAGGGCCCATTCCATTAACCATGTTGTGAGTGAGACGAAAAGGAACAATTTCCGGAACTTCAAAAGTTTCTCCCTTTGCATTGATAAAAAAGAGTATGCTCTAAGGGTTTTAAGTATTATTAAAGGGTAACATTTTTTTCCCCATCTTTGTCAGTGGCAGTGTCCTAGCTGACAAGAAATGTTTGCTTGGATAATAGTCCTTCTCAGCTATTAAAGGGAAGTTACAGTGAAAAAAGGATATCAATGCCCAAATAACCTTTTTCCCCAATTTAATTCACTAATACAGGGTATGAAATTTTGTTCTAAATATATATTGCTGCTCTGTAGTCTCATACAAAATGCTAACTTTTCTTTTATAGTATGCAAGGTAGCTTAAAAATATTTATTTTCTTAATTAAGGGTTAGAACAATTTAGGCTTACTAAAAAGAACACAAGAGAAACAAGCTAACAATCTCTCTGCCTCACTTATCTGAATTAAAAAGGGCAACATATTCCACACCAAAAGCATCTTTCAACAGAAACACCAAAACCCAAATCCCACTCTGGCCACAATTTCTGCCGTTTATTTTTACAGAACCATTGGAATTTTTGTGCTGAATTTGTGTGAGAAGAAACAAAGAAACTCTTCACAGCAGAGGAATTCTGAATATAGCAATTACAGCTTTGTTTGGAGGGTGGTAGTGGAGAGAGGATGGTTACAAAATACAAACACTCTGAAATTTGGGCTATTTCAGTGTATCCACATCAGCTCATTTGATATTGGCTAAATCAAAATGCTGGCTTTCATTAATGCAGTACACAGAGCAATCACATGCTCTTTAGGTATCCCAGACTGTTTGTTTGGTATAAAAGAGAAACAAAGTAAGAGACAGGACATAACAGATATGTTAAAGTAAAAAAAGTGGAAAAAAACCCCAAGAGATGAGAAACTTACAACTTACATGCACGTAAAATAAAGAGCAAGTTCAGCAAGTGGTATTTCTCACCTTATTGAAAAGGCAGTTGAAATCCACATGCACACATTCACCAGTCAAAGAATCAAACAGGATGTTTTCACCATGACGGTCTCCTAGACCAAGTATGTAACCTACCATTGACATAACTGCGACAGAACGACAATAGGCTGACCTACTGTTGTACCTGTGGAAATAAGAGTCACATATGTTTAAGTCATATTCTTTGGGTTATCTGTCTTTATTCAGTAGTATCATTCATGTCAAGTGAAGTACACAAAGTAAATATTCTTGAGCTAGCCCAATCCCACTCACTCACCAGGAAGTAGGATCAGGAAATGTTCGAAGAAACCATTCATGAAAGAGAGGAGGATGACGAGGCAGAAGGACTTCCTTGAACATCTTCAGCTTTTCAGACAAAGGTGCTGACTTTGGAAGCATATGCTGACGCAGTTCTTTTCCGGTCATATAGATACCTGTAATAGACCTCCTCAATTAGGAAAAAGAAATCCCCAAATATAAAGCCTTATAGGTACTATTACAACGTGGTATTTTAGAGAAGTATCTCCACAAAGTTGAAATAAATGAACAAATGGAAACAATTCATAATGTTAACTGAAAGGGAAGGCCTGACAAACAAGCCACCAGTTTTGCCAGTCACCATGGGGTGGACCATGGGGGAAACCCATACACATGGAAAAAACCACCCTCACTCCATCACTCACTATACTCAGCCGAGATCTTTGGAGTTCAAAACTCCCAGATGTCTGTATGTATCCAGGTAACGTGTGAAATTTTCCCCCAAAATTTTATTGCACTGACCAGAAAGTTGCTTTGTTAACAAGAAATTAAAAAGAAATCTGATCTTTTCCCTGGAAAGTTGCTGTACCCTCAACCTTGATTCAATTACAAATTATCTTAATTAACTCACACAAATGTAACAGAAATTAAAAACAACAGATCGACTCTAAAGAAGAAGTCCACAATCTTTTATATTATTCAGTGCTGCACTGCTGCTGAAATGATTTATATCACTGTTTAAAAGAATGTATTAAGAGGATTATGTTATCAGTTCTCATATGGAATTTGTTTATTGTAAGCACCAATTCTCTTCCATTTAAGAGTCTACCACACATATGAATAATATTGCAGATAGTTAAAAAATACACTTGAGTGTATCTTCCTAAAATTGTTTGATCTTTGCTTTTTGTGTCATTTGCCAATACAGATACTGGCCCTTAAAAAAAAACAAAAAACAAACAACAAACCCAAATCACTATAGTCTAATATACTTCTTTACCTTTCTCCTTATACAGTTTGATCAGGATATTTCTTAAACCAGCAGTATTGTTCACCCATTCAATTATGCCACATTCATCATTTAGTGGAATAACTGCGTAGGTTCGAATATGGAGTTCTCGCCTACGTGACTCTGCATCTTTTCTTAAGCACTGTTCACGAAAGAAAAATGAGATACACAGATAGGATCAAAATGTATCAATAACATTAACCATTCTATCTATATCTATTTTCCCATCACACTATCTAGAATTTAAAATTCTAAACTTCACTGTCTGCAGTAGGTCAAGTGCAAGCAAAATGTTCATCTGTTCTCCAAAGTAAATTAAAAAAAAGATAATTTTGCAATAAAACAGTCAAACTGCATAACTTGTACATGGCTTAAAACCCTTAAAAGCAGTATGTGAAATAAGTGCTTTACTGTTTCTGAGATGCTATCAGTTGCTTTAACCTCATGGAAAACATGAGGTTAAAACCTTAACCTTAGGCATATTGCTGGGAAGCAAAATATAATTAAAATAAGAAGTATGGCAACACTTTCAGTATGAAAAGATGAATTTACCTATTTCTCATGCAGACCATTAGAAAACACTGAGTAAGAAGTATGAAGCACAACAGCAGAAAGCTTGAAGTTCTTTATTTACTGTAAATAACCTTTCCTGTAAATTTTTGCTGGAATAAGCAACTGTTTTGGCAAAATGTTGTATTTTGTTATTGTTTTCACAGGTCTGTAAGAAGTTACACATTATCAATTACTATTGATTTCTGCTGAAAGAAGATATTTTGCAACAGTAATTTTCTGCCAGTAAGCTTTATCTAAAGGTAAGTTTTTTCGGTTTCATTTTTGTGGGATTTTTTTTTGGTTTGTTTTGTCTTAGACAGTTCAACATTTTGTTCTCTGGTCAGTAAGTATCATGCAGCTGGTTGCCTAACTCAAACCTTATTAATAAGGGAGTTGAATTCCATGAGCCGACAGTCTTTTCTTAGATCATCTTTTGGCTTGCACATCATAATGTAAGATTTCCCATCCGAACCTCTTAAGGTGATCTTTTTTGGCTTTTGAAGTGAGGCAAGAATTTCCACCTAAGGAAAATATTAAATTCTTTATTAATACAATTTTTACTGTATTATCAGATCATACAGAAATAAAGTGTCTAGCTGCAATAAACCACCACAACCAATCACATTAACACTTCCATGGTGCTACAGCATATAAACCTCAGGCCAAAACTTTGTTTAAGTACCAAGAGACCATATCTGTCTCAGATTTTTATGACAGAAGCCACTCAGTTTCCATGAAAGTAATTATGAAGTTTCCTACTCACTCCTCCATTTCTAGGGAACCAAGATATATTTGCAGCTACATTTGTTTAAAATGAGGTGCCAACTAGAGGCTTACCGTATCATCAAAGCCTGCAATGTAGGCCCAGCATCCAGGAAAAGGGTCATGGTTAGCATGTGTACCAGGAATTGAAGGAAGAGTTGGTATCATAACAGATTGTAAGGGAATCAGAATTTCACTAAATGTGTGCTCTTCTACTAATCTTTTAAGTGTTTTGAAATGAATATTCATGCTTAATGTTGAGCTGTTTCCATCAACCTTGGGGGGAAAAAAAAAAATGGTTCAGAAGTTAACAATAAACACTTAAAATATTACTGCTATTTCATATTAACTAATGAATGAATAGAATAATAAATGCTATGGTAATAAGAAAAATGGCAAATTAAATGGGAGTGGTCAAAAAATAAATATATCTAGCACAGGTATTTTTCACTCTAATTGTAAATATTGAATAATGAAGGAATTTATTTACTTTTACCTTATTATCAAGCTCATTTGTTCATAAAACACAACCAACCTATTTTTATAGTAAAACTCTGAAAGATACTGGGCAAAAATCATACAGGAAAGCACAAAACAATGTAAAGCCCATGCACTGTAAGATCTACCATTATGTACTGAACATTCTGCACTGTGTTCAATTTAGAGTTATTTTCTACGTTTTTTGAGTATTTTTTATTAAGAAAAAGTAAAAAAAAAATCTTTTATAAGTTAGTGTAGTTTCTGTTAAATTGCAGTAATGTAATGAATTGGCTAATGAAACCTATCAAAAGAAGCTTTAGTATAACATTTTTTAGTAACCCCATTACATCATTAATTTGTTTATTTTTTAAGTACCGGTTTGTTGCACAGTTCTAATAGCTTATCTGTAAGGCGTGTTGCATCTCCAATAAATTTTCCCAAAGATTCCTTCATATGAATAGCTTTGTTTAGAATTTCCTTACATCTATTGACACGCGTAGGGTAAGAGGACTGAAAAAAGAGGAAAGTTAACATTTAATAAACAACAATCAAATCAATTGAAAAATCCTGAAAAAAACTCCAACAACAAAACCCACAGTAATTAATATATTCTTTTCTCTACTTATTGCTTGTCATATTAAATATCTGGAGAAGGATGTACTCCAACTGAAACTGTTACCTGAAACTGGACAAGTACTAAAGTGGTTCAGTTGGTGGGGGTGTGTGTGTGGGCTATTACTTTCTGAAACCATTCTTGAGAGTCCCAGTCCCACAACATAAAGGCCGATATTCGAGAATATGCCAGCGTATCCTGAATGTTATTTCACCAGCCTTAAAGAATGCTTTCCAATTGGCTTTGGAATGACCTTACTACCAGGTAAGTATTAGGACTAAGTGGCATATCTACCCCATTTTAATCAAGTTGATTATTTCATTATAAAACTGAAAGGATTATTATAATTACTAAAACCAACAAAATTTGTTCTCCATAACTACACAATTAATCAGCTATTTGTTCAAATTTCCTCTCCTAATACATCATGCAAGTCAGGATGCATATTAGCATTCTAATTTGGAACATTCAAACTCTAATATCTGAACTTCAGACTGCAATAAAATCTTTTGCAGCGATATCATTGATACCCTGTTCCACAACACTGTATCACAGCAACCGCAACTCTCAATTCCTTCTTATCATCTTAAAGTAAAAAAAAAAAGTTATATTGATGTTTCTCTTTGATGAAAACAGTTTCACAACCTTAATAAAGGTGTAGCAATACTTATTGAGGTACCTTGGACACAGCAGTCATCATCCACATTGCTTGCTGTGGATAGGCTAAAAACACTTTAGCAACAATCACCATCAGAACTGCAAAGACTTCATCATGAGAGTGGCAGATTCGGGAGATTAACTGAGAAAAAGCTGTCAGAAACTGATAAGGTGCCAGGTGATTCGTGTGCTCTGTAATCACCTTATTTATTTTGGCTAAATCATTTTTCATTTGAACGCGCTCTGAACGACTAGCTGAAAAACACAAGAGGACAAGATTATGTTCTTTTTTTTCCCCCATTGGAAATGTAAAGTCATTTAAATCAAGCTTACAGAAATATAATTGTTGGCAATTTTCATAAGCTCCACCCCCAAAAAAACCCCAAAGAAAAGGAAAAGCTCCTACCATAAAATTCTTTCTAACATAGCACACAATGACTTGATACATATGCTATATAACTAACCAAAATAAGAGGAAATAAACAAGCACAGACAAGAGGACCGTGAATGGCACAGAACAACAACAAAACCACTCCAAGTATTTCCCTGGTAAATGGATTCCAATGTTCTTTAGCAAAGAGGAAATGAAGAAAGTCTTTACAAGGGCTGAAATTAGCACATCTGCTTTTATCTCCACCCCTGCACCTGAGGACCCAGCACGAGTAGCACATCAACAACAGAGAAAGCAGTATCTGCCCGCAGACAAATTCAGTTGACCTAAGTATATAGAACCAGGTCAAGACCAAGGAGCCACAACTGTCTGCTTCATTTGTACAAAAATCTCCCACCCAAAATGCACCTATGGTGGTAGTTTCACCTGCCTCGATGGTGCCCACAGGATTTTTTTTCTCCTACCTCATTTAAATTTCAGTAAAACTCCTTCAACAATTGGAACCAAGACAAATTGGACAAAAGCCCCAAAGCCCAACACTTCGCTGTAGCAAATGTATTCAAAACCACTACTCATGAGGAAATTTAGAAGAGGTGACAGATAACATGCAAGGATTTTCCCTAAATCTGTTTATTTACTTCAGTTACCTAAGGAACAATGCTATCTTGCTATATATTTAAAAAAAAATTCTGGAGGGTTTAATTAAAATAATTAAGACTCTCCTGCATACGAACATCCTGTAATTTTAAAGAATAATAGTACTTTACTGTTTCCATACAATCTCAGGCAATAAGACTAAACAAAGAACTGGAAATATACTTTGCTTCTCTTTCAATTATATATTTAAAGGTATGACACAGAAGTATGTAGTGGGAAAGAAACGTTTTACCTTTATCACATTCATATGCTTTTGCTCCGAAGTCCAGCCATAAAGATAACATTCTTGGCATTGACTGATAGATGAATTGGTTTCCATACTGTAGAGACCTGTGATCACATGATTAAATCACAGCATGTTAGTGATATATATTAGAAGTGTTAAGAACTTTACATCCTTAATTGTTTCATATTCCACTCTGGACTTCAGAAATGTACATTCGGCATTTTAATGCATCTGCAACAACTGAAATATTACTAATATACAAAAGGGTTTGTTTTTAATAATCAAAACAGCAGATTAAATAATTTATTGTCTTACACAAGACAGCCAACAATGGCTTACTCGGAAGGCAGAAGTAAAATTAATTACATACAAAACCAAAAAGTACAGGGTTTTGTAAAACTGTTTTTTGTTTTTGTATGTAATTAATTAAAAGTTTTGTTTTACAATACTGCATAAAACTGTGAGTCAGTCTGAATTGTTGAAAGGCAATATATTCCTATAAAACTTTTTTCCGTATAGCAGTCATCCTTCTATGGACACTAAGCAAAGTTCCCGTAGGGTCTAACCTCCCAAAATGATGAACTATGTATCTAATCAGATCTCCTTGTTTTTCCATCTTGTTGTCAGTTACCATTGGCATTAATTTGTCATAATATTTAGCAAGATAAAAATGTCCATCTTCCCATTCTGGCAAGAAAATTGTAACATCCTGCAACAAATAAAAAATGATAATTACTTTTGAGAGAATGCTGAATTTAATATTAAAAAATAAAACAATAATAAAAAAGATTCTCAAGAAACAAGAATCTTAGTTGCCTTTGTGCAAAGTACGTACTAAAAAGTATTAATTGTAACTTTGTAACTCCAAAATTGTAATTTTGCCCCAAGATAAATTCTTAAAATACTTTTTGTATTTGTAGACAGCAAAATTACTTCAGACAGAATGATATAGGATTCATCAACTAGGAAAGATTATAGTTTCATTAAAAATATTATAATCAAATTCCTGATCCTGATAAACTCAACACTGGGTTTTCTTTTTTTAAAAGTGAAACAGCAGGATGTTTTTCACATTTCTGTTTTCCTTCTAAAAGCATGTTTAAAACAAAAACTTGTGTGACATGTATTAGAAAAGAAATAACCTAGCAAGTGGCACATCCATTCTCAAATAACACTGGCTTGTTTCCAGTACCAATATTTAGACAGTAGACAATTCTAAGCCTTAGTATTTTAACATAGCTCATCAAAATTACATTAGTTTCCATTATTTCAACCTTCATTTGATTTGATACATCCGATAGATTTTTCTCTAAATAACTGCTTCAGAAGCACTCAGTTAGTAAGAAAGCAGTAAGTATTAACAGTAGCAAATGCCAAAGCTTGGATAAGAGACATACTACACTTAGGGAAGCACAAAGATCTGCATCTACTGCTGGTTTAGTAGGCAATATTAACCAATGCCAAAACAGTATTTCACTGGCATAGCAAGATGAAGCAGTGTAGTGCTGTGTCACTGAAGAAAAACATACCAGTTGCCTCTTTTCCTAGTTCTTCAGAGACTGGAAGCGTATTTAAAGCACAGTTACAACTCACTACCAGAGAGAGAAGGAACACTTCTGTGCAATGTGTCAAATTATCTCACTGTCTGTATTTAGAGTAGCTTATATTTTAGAGAGGAATTCTAATTTGTGCATGCATAAGAAAAAAGCCACACTCCTAGTAGAAATTTGTTTTCTACTTTAAAAGAGTTAAATTAGGTATTCTTAGCTCCCACTGTTGGGAACTGTAGACCTCCCTGTATTGACATATATTAAAGTTAATTCAGATAGTTAAATCTTCGTAGGAAGAACTACTTCCCTCCCATGCACTGATACAGCATTTAATCCCATTGATGCTATCCTTGGTTGACATCAAGAGCATAATGATGGCTTACTTAAGGGATATATTATTATTATTATTATTATTAAAAACTACTGTCTCATTAACACCAGTATAGCAAATTACCTTATACTTTTTCATAACTGCATTGCTTTCAAAGTTAGCAGTTTCTTCCATGAATCTGCCCACTAGCAGCATTGCCCGACCGTGGATGAGCTGATTTTTGGTACTGCTGGGTGCTTTATTTTCAGGGAAACATAACTCAACCCCCTTCTGGAGAACAATGAGTGCTTGATGAACCTCACCCTATGGGAAAGAGGAAAGCATTTTATATACTGCAAATAAGAGAAATGTAAAACATTCATCTTACAGTTGTGATTAAGGCAAAGCTTTGTCCCCAGGTATGTTCTTGACCATTCTGGCTGTGGTAACTGGATATTAGTTATTTCAAATGCTTCTTATATTCGCCTGTTATCTCAGAATTGCTGTCTCTAAGTTTACCACAGTAATTGTTCCCATGTTTGCTGTCTACCTCTAGCAGTTAAAAGGATTCAAATTAAGGAAAGCTCTGCTATTAAGATAATTTAAATATGCCTGGACTGCTTTGACAGAGGCAAGTAATCCACCAGTTTTCTACACAGCTGCCAGAAAAGGGGTGACTTGCAGTTGAGGCACGGGAAGTTTTTACCTCCAACTGCTATCAGAATGCATTGATGGTCCCAGTTGACATAGTTTGTTTTACATATCCTGATTGGATGCCTTCTTTTCCTTGAAGAAAACTAAAGATTATTTTCTAGCCTGTAAGAAAGAAAGTCTATTTTTATTTTCTTTACCTTAGACCAGAGCCACTTTGCTCTTTCTATGTAAAGCTCTGAGAGCGTAGATTCCCCAGCGTTCAGAAGAGCATTATACGCAGTCTGGTGATGACCAGCTTTTCTCGCAACTCTAGCACTCTGGAGCCAACACTGACCAACAAGCTCACTGTGATCCTGGCTGCAGAGATATTATTGCAGAAAAGGAAAAATTTCAGTCACGAATGCTGCTTTACAATCTGAAGTATTACAGTGTGTTGAAACACAAACAAAAATTCTCAATAAGCTACACACTACATAGCGATCATTTGAAATTATTTCCAATACATTTGTTTCACTTTTCTTCCATTTAGGCCTAGGAAACAAATACTCTTGCCCCCTGTTTCTCCCTTATCTTTCCTACAGACACCAGTTTTCCCTTCTGTTTTGAAGGTATGTAGTATTGGAGGGGACTACTTTTGTCTACAATATGAATTTCCACAGAGTTATCTCTCCTAACGCGCATATGGAAAACCAGAATATTACTGAGAATACAACATGGACAGACAAGAAATAGTCATGTTCTCACCTTTTACTGAGACTAAGCAAAGCCCTTCTCAGTGCTAAAATGGGTTCTTTTGCTCTGTAAGAGTTTTGGGTCATTTCAATACGAGCACACCAATTCAGGGAATCTCTACTCTGGTCACCATTTGGTTGCTGAAATATTGGTCCAATACTATGTTCCAACTCACACAGCATATGCAACCTGTGTTAGTAAAATAAAGACAAAAAATTATTGAAAATCGGTTGCTGTTTGAGATACTTTGCCATTTTTGAGCTTTTGCCATTTTCTTTCTAAAAGCTGGCCATGTAAATAATTTCAAATAGTATGGCTTATTTTAAAAGCAAAAATGCAGCAAAACCAAACACACAAAATCAAGGATTTGTAAATTGATTAGTTATTTTCTCACTATTCCTTTACCAAGCTGCTGAACACAGAGACAACGAAGATTACTTGGAGAGGAAGTAAATCATTAAGAAGAGTACTTCTATCCATTAGTTTTAGCAATAATTCTTCAAAAAGTCTGTTATTTTCAACAAAAACCATTTTAAAGACAATATATGATCTGTTACTTAAACACCTCTCTTACAATAGTTATTAAATTTATTTAAAAATATAATTATTATTTGCTGTAACTGTAAAGCTGCGAGCTTGTAAACACCTACATTCTCATTGGCATAGGAGATGTGTAGTGGGTATTTCCAACAGAGAAACAGTAACCAAAGGCTTCTGAGTAGCCCAGATCAATGACTAAATCAAACTATTTTCAAACACTTCTTTCTCAATACTCAATTTCCTAAATAAAATAACACTGAAAAAAATTACCAAGACAAAATATAATTTAGAAGTAATTAAGAAATATATACTTCAACTGGCTAGTTTCACACAATATCTTGCCATGAGGATGCATTTACAGTGTAGAGAAAATATTAAACCTATTTCATTAAGGAAGGTGATGCACTTGTTAGTCCACTACAGCCAACTTCAAAATTTATTAAAAAAGAAAAAGTAAACCTACTGACACAGATGGGGTTTCAATTTTTACTGCTTTTTGATAAAAGAAGAGTGCTTTTAGGCCACCATACAGATTAAAAGCAATGCTCTTACACTAATGGAGTTACTCGCCTATATGTACTACTTTAGGCATGGAATTAAATTGTTGATTTTTATTATTACCTCATGTTTACCTAAACTTGCTTGCTGATTTTGAAAGATTGTACCAAAAAGTTTTATTTTTATATTTTTCATGGGGAATAAATATAAATTCCCAATTAATCAAAGGTTTCCAGCTGGTTGAGGATA